GCCTTGTATAAACTTTGGTCAATTAGTTTGTCAGTCTGCTTTTTACAGAACTACATACTACTTCCACTGTGAATATGGTTGAGGCAGTTGTAAAGGAGACTCTATGCATATAGATTGCTTAAATCTAAATGTAGATATTTCTATTTTTTTTTTCTTGGAAACATATACTTTATAAAGGTATAAAGTGGACATTAAAATAATATAGTTGTATAGGCTTTTGCTTTTTAAAAACAGCCTTTTGAGGTATCATCCACTTACCATACAACTTATATGTTTAAAGTGTACAATGCTTTTTTTAGTATGTTCATGATGTTTTGTAACCTTCACCACATTAGAACATTTTTATCTCTCTTAAAGAAACCCTGTACCTATTAATAGCCACTCCGTTTCTCTCCTTTTTTCTCATAACGCCAGCCCTAAGCAAGCACTGATTTATTCTGTCTCTATAAATTTGCCAATTCTGAACATGTATAATAATAAAAGCATAATATGCTAATTAGACTGGATGTCCTTCAGGATGAAGCCGGGGCTGTGAGGGAAGCCCGAGTCCCGAGTGCCAGAGGGAAGCCGGTGCCGGCAGCCGGGGGAAGGAAGGCCTTTCTTGCACAAATTTTGTGCATCAGGCCTCTAGTCCTATGTAATAAAGAGGAAATATGCAAATTGACCCTCACCCCCTCACATAAGATGGCCCCCACAAAATGGCTGGCAGGGGAGGGCAGTTGTGGGCAACCAGGCCGGCAGGGGAGGGCAGTTGGGGGGAACCAGGCCTTCAGGGAGGGAGAGCAGTTGGGGGGGGGGACCAGGGCAGTTGGGGCGACCAGGCCAGCAGGGGAGGGCAGTTGAGGGCGATTGGGCCGGCAGGGGAGCAGTTAGACGTCAATCAGGCTGGTAGGGGAGCAGTTAGGGGGTGATCAGGCTGGCAGGCAGAAGTGGTTAGGGGCAATCAGACAGACAGGCAGGCGAGTGGTTGGGAGCCAGCAGTCCTGGATTGTGAGAGGGATGCCTGACTGCCCGTTTAGGCCTGATCCCGGTGGGCAGTCGGACATCCTCTGAGTGGTCCCATATTGGTGAAGGTGAAGTCTGGGCTGAGGGACACAATCCCCCCCCCCCCCCCCCGCACAAATTTCGTGCACCAGGCCTCTAGTTTCAATATAAAATGGAATAATATAATGTGGTCTTTTATGACTGGCATTTTCACTTAGCATCTTTTCAAGGGTGATCCATGTTGTAGCATGGATCAGTACTTCATTCCTTTTTATTGTTGAATAATAATGCATTGCAAGGATATACTACTTTTATTTATCAGTTGTTGCATATTTGGGTTGTTTCTGCTTTATGTCTGTTATGAATAATGTTGCTATGAATATTTTTGCACAACATTTTGTGGGGACATAAGGGGTAGCAAAAGTAGGTTTACAGTTGTTTGTACCAAAAAATACATTACTAAAAGATGAATCATAAGTAAGGATACAAAATAATAAGATAAATAATACAATAATAAATAATAATACAGTAATTAACTGTGTTTCGCATACTCACAACTATAAACCTACTTTTGCCCACACTGTATGTTTTCACTTCTTTTGGGTATATACCTATAAATCAGTGGTTCTCAACCTTGGCTATGTTATGGGGTGGGGCCACAACATTAGTAACAAAGAAACAGAATTTCCGGAGGATGAGGCCCAGAAATCAGGATTTTAAAAGGATTCCCAGGTGATTCTAAAGTGCAGCCAAGGTTGAGAACCACTGCTATAAATGGAATTGGGTCATAATGGTAACTTGAAATTCATACTTTTTAGGAGCTGCAAGATATTCCAAAAGAGTAATGTCACATTACACCTTGCTATGACATATGAGGGTTCCAATTTCTTCATCCTTGACAGTGGTGTCTCATCACTGATTTCCATTCCCCTAATGACTAATGATATTGAACATCTTTTCATGTGCTTATTGGTCATTTGTATATCTTCTTTGGGGAAACATCTATTTTAGTCTTTTTAAAAATTTCAAATTGGTTTGTTTTTTTATTGTTGTAAGAGTTCTTTTTATATTCTAGATACAAGTTCCTTATTGTATGATTTGCAGATATTTTCTTCCATTCTGTGGTCTGCCTTTCTTTTTTAAAAAAAATTTTTTATTGATTTCAGAGAGGAAGGGAGATGAAGAGAGAAATAGTAACATCAGTGATGAGAGATTATCATTGATTGGCTGCCCTCCACTGGGAATCAAGCCTGAAAACTGGGCATGTGCCCTGACTGGGAATTGAACCATGACCTCCTAGTACATAGGTTGACACTCACCCAATGAGCCACACAGTCCAGGTTGTCTTTCTTTCTTGATGATGCCCTTTGAAGCACAGAAGTTCATAATTTTGATCAAATTTAGTTTTGTTTCTTTATTTTTAATTTTTATATATTTTAATATATCTTTATTGATGTCAGAGAGGAAGGCAGAGGGAGGGAGAAATAAAAACATCAATGATGAGAGAGAATCGTTGATCCTCTGCTGCGTGCATGCCCCCTACTGGGGATCGAGCCCGCAACCCAGGCATGTTCCCTGAACAGGAATCGAACCATGACCTCCAGGTTCATGGATCACCCTTCAACCACTGAGCCAAGCTGGCTGGACTAGATTATATCTTTTTAAATTGCTCATGCTTTTGATGTCATATCTAACAAACATTGTCTAACCCAGTGGTCGGCAAACTGCGGCTCGCGAGCCACAGTTTGCTGACCACTGGTCTAACTTACAAAGTGATGAAAGTTTACTTATGTGTTTTTTTTCCTGCAAGGTTTATAGTTTCTATTCCTTTATTTAGGTCTTGAACTAATTTTTGAATCAGTATGTATCTGTGCTCAGTTGGTTGGAGCATTGACCTGATGAGCCAAGGTTGCAGGTGTAAGCCAGTGAATGCGTGGATGGCTGGAGCAGGAGGTCGATGTTTGTCTCTCTCTCCCCCACCCCCACTCCCCTCCCTCCCTCCCCCCCCCTCTATCTATCTCTCTCTCTCCCTCCCCCTCTCCCCCCCCTTCTTTCTCAGGTCAATACATATATTAAAAAACCACACAATTCAGTGGTTTAAAGTGTGTGTGTGTGTGTGTGTGTGTGTGTGTGTGTGTGTGTGTGAAGTAGGGTTACAATTTTAGTTTTTTGCATACTGATACGCATTTTTCTCAGTACAGTTGAAAAGACTAAATTGTGTTGGCACCCTTGTAAAAAAATATTTGTGGGTTCTCCTCCTATGATGTCTTAAATGCTTTTAGTAATTCTTACATAAGATAACTTCTTAAAAAGATTGATTAAATATATTTTATGAGTACGTACTTGGTAAGATAACCTGTCACCTCTTGATTTTTAAACGGTTGAGATTTAATCAGGCTTTGAAGTACTATAGAAGCTCCCAGAAACCACTTTGAAGAAGCCAACCTTAACGATGGTGTGGCATTGTTCTCTCTTGCATACATATTCCCTAATACAAATTTACTTGTGTTTCTCCTGTGTGGTAGGCAGTAACAAGGATGAATAGGATGAACAAAAATTGGTGATTGGGATTATAACACTTGACAGTTGCATTGTATTGAATCTTACTAGGATGAATTGAGTGATTTGAGAGTTGACGATAACGGATGTGAAGAAGATTAGTAGGAGAAGCCTTGGAAAAAATAATCATCACTGGTGTGACCAGGTGTCTCCGATTTCTGAGGCCAGGCTTTTCCTTTGGTATCGGTGGATCTGAAGAGGCTAGAGTAGTGCTATCCACAAGTATAGTGTGAGCCTCCAGAGTATTCTAGTAGCCACATTAACAAAAGTATCAGGTGAATTAAAATTTAATAAGATATTCTATTATATCTAGAACATTATTTTTAACATATAATACATATAAAATTATTAATAAAATTTTGCATTTTTTCTTAGAAATTCAGTACACATTTTACACGTAGATCATATCTCAATTGGGACTAGCCACATTTCAGTTGCTCAGTACCCACATGTGGCCAGTGGCTTCTGTGTTGGACAGCACAGTTCTAGATGTTTTGATAACCAGTTGAAATATTGCATCAACATTACTCAACTTCCTGTGCTCTTCAAGGTACCCTGACTCATCCCTTTGACTTGATACATGTGGCTTTGGGGGGAGCTTTTTCCTGACTGTTCATTGTAGCCCTCACTGGTGGGATAAGTGCCTGCTCGCTGAGACAGGATGGTCTGGGAATTTTGTTAAGCGACATGGGCAACTCACTAAATGGGTAAAGAATACTATTACTTTGTTAATCCTCTCATGAGGATATTTTTTCCATTGCTTTTTAGAGAGTGGGGAGGGTAGGAGGGAGGGAGATTCTAGAGAGGAAGGGAGAGGGAGAGAGAGATAGAAACATCAATGATGTGAGAGAATCATTGATTGACTGCCTTCTGCACGCCCCCTACTTGGGATCTAGCCCACAACCTGGCATGTGCCCTGACCGGAATGGAACCGTGACCTCCTGGTTCATAGGTTGATTCTCAACCACTGAGCCAAATAGGCCAGGTTATTTTAGTCACCTTTTGTGAGCTATCCAGGATATCTAATCATATTCCTACTATTTCTGTGGGAAAAGAAACTCTGATTTTAAAATAATGGAAAATAAGCCCCTTTATAAGTGCAGGACTACTTTCACATGTCTTTTTATAATCTCTGTGGGATGTGTTTGTATATCATGGGGAAGCACTCTTTTATTTCACTTATATTTTATAATATTGACATGAATTAAAAAGTATTAAAGCTCTGGGTGAAAATGTGCCTGCAAGAATATGCCTTGGCTATTAAGGATAGTCTTCCCTCCTGGCCTGTATGTTGAAACATCACTTGAATTCAGTTAAAATGGATGCAGTGACGTTACTCATCATTTCTTTTTAGTGTATGACAAGTTCTATTTTTTTTCATATTAAGAAACTTCAAGAATATCCACAATGCAAGATTTACTTCTAAATAAGTACGAATTTTCCTTCTGCTGTTTCAGGCCGGAGCCTCAACAGAAAGCTCCCTTAGTTCCTCCACCACCACCTCCACCACCACCGCCACCTTTGCCAGACCCCACGCCCCCAGAGCCAGAGGAGGAGATCCTGGGTTCAGACGATGAGGAGCAGGAGGACCCCGCAGACTACTGCAAAGGTGCTGTGCTTGCCTTCCCACTGAGCCATCACATAATTTGTTTTGGGGAATGGACAAGGGGGGTTAATGATGCAGATTGTTTGGTCTTTATTAAATTAGCCTCTTAGTGTCATTATTGTTTTAAATTCTTAAATCATTAAATATAGGATGATCCCAGAAAATGTAAGCAATAGCAGAAGGAAAATTGTAAGAGATAGAAAATATACATAATATGTACATGCATAATCTGGGTACGTTCAAGAGGATTGGAAGGTGATCATAGAATTAAAGCTGGACAATCCGATATAATAAAGAGCTAATATACAAATGGTCGTCACGCCCTCATGCCATCACACCGTAATGGCTCAGACACTCAACACTGGGGAGAGAGGAATGGAGACCGGCCAGGCACAAATGAGCTCACGAGAGAGGAATGGAGACCAGCCAGACTGCGGCCCAGGAGAGGGACAAGCCACCTTCCCCGCAGTCCCGGGCGCCAACGGCTGTGCCTGCGCTTGCGGGCCCAGGAGAGGGACAAGCCGTCTGCCCTGTGGTCTCTGGCTCCTGTGGCTGTGGCCCGGGTGAAGCTGGCCCGGGACCTGAGTGCCTGCAGCCGGCCAGAGGGAGGGAAGCCCATGTCCCGGGTGCCTGCGACTGGCCGGAAGATGGAATCCTGGGTCCCAGGTGCGGGGCGAGGCAGAGGCGGTTAGGGTCGATCAGGCCAGCAGGGGAGCAGTTAGGGGCAATCAGGCAAGCAGGCAGAGGTGGTTAGGGGCAATCAGGCAGGTGAGCGGTTAGGAGCCAGTGGTCCCGGATTGCGAGAGGCAGTCGGACATCCCCGAGGGGTCCTGGATTGGAGAGGGTGCAGGCCGGGCTCAGGGGACCACGCCCCCTCCCATGCACAATTTTCGTGCACCAGGTCTCTAGTTAAGTATAAAAGCATCGTACTCATCCAAGAAGAACTTAGAAAGTAGAAGGTATCAGGCTCCTGAGGGGAGCCAATGTAATTATTGTTTACTGCATTTGGCTTTAACTTTTCTGGCTGCTAAGACTAACAAGGAACTGCTCCTTTGTCTGTATAACATTGAATTACATAGTATTCATTGTCTGTGGAAAGAAAGCCTGCCCATTTGTTTATACAAACAGACTGTTTCCTGGCATTGTACTTAATGAAAAAGACTTTCTGTAGGTTCTGCTATTATGTGACATAGTGGGTTATGTTTTCAGCTATGTTTTCACAGAAGACATAGAAATTATTCTGTTGAAGTGCTCTTGTAGTGAGGATTCATAAAGACCAAGAGCATATAGTTAAACTCCTACAAGGCAAGCATGTTGTGTGGCAAAAATTGAGAACAGTTTGATCCAGACTCAATACTCTGTGTAGACAGGACTCTGAGAGTCCATGAGGAAGGAAAGTGGATGTGACTAGTCAGCTGCTTCTTTGTTATTTAACTACTCCTTTGGACTTTAATTTACTCTAATAGAAAATTATCACTATCTGGAATTATGAGGTTCTAAACAGTTGAGACATTTATTTACCACAGATTAAGGAAAATGAAGTCATATTCTGTACAGCATAAGATAAGTTGGCAGGAGATGCACACATTCAAACCATAAAGCACTAATGAATCTTTGACTCTCTAATATCTTAGTATGAATTTATTTAGTGATTCCAGGCCATTTGTGTGTTGGTTAAGGAACAATTACTTTTTAGATACCTGTTAAGAGGGAGAGAAAGTAATCTTCCACTCAACCTCATTGTCCCATAGGTGTGGGTTTCTACACACAGAACCAATGTTGTCCTTAGAAAAGCGATTGCAGAACTTTAGCATTTGTATGAGTAGTGATTATGACCTTAAAGGTCTATACCATCTAAAATGGAAAAGAAGGTATTGAGATGAAAAGATGTTTTCCATCCTCCCTGTTAATCTGCATTTCTTGGTTCCGAAATTAAGTTGTTTGAAGACAGTTGTCTTTTGATTTTGCTGCTTATGCAAAGCATTAGGGTGGCCTGTTGTAACTGTTTGTTATCTTAAGCACAAAGGCTTTACCATGTTGGAATGAGCACTGTTTGCTTCACAACCTGGTGGGAGATGGGTCAGGAGATGTAACTAGTACTCTCACCCTTTACCACCTCTGCAAATCAGCCCTGTGGATACTCCAGACCGAAATACAGGGCTATGAATGAAGGATTCCACAATCAGGCTGATTCTAGGTAACACTCACTGAACTGTAAACATCTTGAGAGTATTAAAGTCAGCCTCAGTAAGGCATGTTAGAGATGGTAAGGTTCTCTTCTTACACCGTCTCTCTCACACACTCACGCTTCTCCCTAATTTTGTGACTAACTTGTCCCTCTAGTCAACATTACAGTCAACAGATGCCATTCTCTGAATTTTGTGGTTTCTATCCTCCTATATAATAAAAGGGTAATATGCAAATTGACTGAATGGCAGAATGACCAGTCGCTATGATGCACACTGACCACCAGGGGGCAGATGCTCAATGCAGGAGCTTTCCCTTGGTGGTCAATGTGCTCCCACAGGGGGAGTGCCACTCAGCCAGAAGCCCAGAAGCTGGGCTCACGGCTTGCAAGTGCAGTGGCGGTGGCGGGAGCCTCTCCCACCTCTGCGGCAATGCTAAGGATGTCCGACTGATGGCTTAGGCCTGCTTCCCGGGCCTAAGCCGTCAGTTGGACATCCCCTGAGGGCTCCCGGACTGTGAGAGGGTCCAGGCCAGGCTGAGAACCGAACCCCCCCCCCCCCCCAAGGGCCAAATCTCATGCAGCGGGCCTCTAGTTTGTTTATATATATAAAAGCCTAAGTGACCATTACGACTAGTCGACCAGTTGCTATGATGTGCACTGACCACCAAGGGGCAGGTGCTCAATGCAGGAGCTACCCCCTGATGGTCAGTGGGCTCCCACAGCCAGCCTCCTGCGGCTGGCCAACCTCCCAAGGTACCTCCCCCCGGCTGGCCTGCTAACCTCCTGCAGCCCCTCCCCCCAGCTGGTGGCCAACCTTCCACAGTCCCTCCTCCTGGCTGGCCAGCCACCCCACACGGCCCCGATCGCCTGCCAGGCCGGGACCCCTCCAACCCGTGCACGAATTCGTGCACTGAGCCTCTAGTACAGTGGTTCTCAACCTTCCTAATGCCGCAACCCTCATGTTGTGGTGACCCCCAACCATAAAATTATTTTCGTTGCTACTTCATAACTGTAATTTTGCTACTGTTATGAATCGTAATGTAAATATCTGATATGCAGGATGTATTTTCATTGTTACAAATTGAACCTAATTAAAGCATGGTGATTAATCACAAAAACAATATGTAATTATATATGTGTTTTCCGATGGTCTTAGGTGACCCCTGTGAAAGGGTCGTTCGACCCCCAAAGGGTTGAGACCCACAGGTTGAGAACTGCTGCTCTAGTACATATATAAAAGGCTAATATGCTAAGTGTCCAACCATCCGACTGGTCACTATGACGCGCACTGACCACCAGGGGGCAGACGCTCAACACAGGAACTGCCGAGCTGCAGTTTCTTGGCAGCGGCGGTTATCAGGTAACGCACGCCAGAACCAGAGAGGAAGGAACCCAGTTTCTCACAGGGCCGCCTGATTCCACCTTCTGCTGTGGGTTATGTTGTTGCTGGGGCACTGTCAGTGCTGAATCTGGTTTACTGCACACTTCCATTTGCGTTTCACATCCTGTATGACAGCAACTTTGCAGAGTGCCCTCTCGCACTCTGAGACCCCTCGGGGGATGTCGGAGAGCCGGTTTCGGCCCGATCCCTGTAGGCCAGGCTGAGGGACCCCACCTGCCAGAGGGTTCCCGCTCACTCCGCAGAGGCCCTTTGAGTGGCCGGCCAGGGAGAAACCTCGGGAGGTTGGCTCCAGGGCAGGTCCAGCCCGTCTCACCCAGTCCTGCCCCACTGGCCACCTTCTAATTAATTTTCTTTCAATGTGCACGAATCTATGCACCGGGTCACTAGTAAATCATAATAGTTTGTCTAAGATAATGAACATAAATGCATTCAAGGAGTCCATGGAATTGGGAATGTCTGATTCAGGAACTGTGGCCATCTTCCTCCTCCCCAATAGAATAGGTAACTTCCCCACCTGAAACCAGTTGAGTTTAAGTTACCAACATGATGCTCTGTCACTCCTGAGTACTTCAGTATATTTTGCCTACAATCAAGTACATTTCTCCTTTGTAATCACAATACAACCATCAAGATCAGGAAGTTAGCATTGATATATTTCTACCATTTAATCCTCAGACTCTATTCAGGTTTTGCCAGTTGCCCAATATTGTCCTTGATATGAAACAGAACCTTTGGAAAGTCTTGTTACATTTTTGTTTGTTTGTTTCTTTAATCAGTTCCTAAGTCTTTTCTTGACTGTCACAACTGACATTTTTGAACATTGTAGGCCAAGTTATTATTTTGTATAATGTTTCTCAATTTGGTATATAAAAAACTCTTTTCAGGTAGTGTATGGTTTTGATTTATACTATTACAGTTGATGTCAGTCGCTTGTTTAAGATGGTGTCTGCTGGATAGCTCCATCCCAAAGTTATCCTTTCCCTGGTGATTAATGAGAATTTTGGGGGTCAAACGACCCTTTCACAGGGGTTGCCTAAGACCACTGGAAAACACATATATAAATACATATTGTTTTTGTGATTAATCACTATGCTTTAATTATGTTCAATTTGTAACAATGAAATTGGGGGTCACAACAACATGAGGAACTATATTAAAGGGTCGCGGCATTAGGAAGGTTGAGAACCACTGTTCTAACCCATCCTTCTGGTCCATCTTTCTGTCTTTCTGTCTATCTCAGATGGACTCTTTCATGGATTGCCTCTCCCCTATCCCCACCCCCTCTTCTCCCACTGAGTTTAATTCATTATTTTCCTTATTTGGCTTGATGTTTAGATTTCCCCCAATTTGGTCATTAGGAATCCCTTCAAGTTGGTTCTATGTCTGTTCTTTGAACACTTTATTACTTTTAAA